CCTACCTTGTAATTATTTATAAATAATATATATATATATATATATATATATATATATACATACATATATAATGAGATGATAGATTTTCTATAAGTCACATCAGCTGAAAGATAGGGATCGAGATTTATGAAAATACAAGCATTATTTTTAAATATAAAAGTGACAAATATTTGTTTAAATGTATTTTAATGTATAATTATTTACGATTCTCATTACGAGATTTCGTATGTGATCTCTTTTCTTTTTTTCTTTTTTTTTTTCTTCTTTTTATTTCCATTCCGAGGTTACAGATAATAGTGCGAAGAGAGAGTTAGAGAGAATTACCGTAGAGAATCTTAAATGATTTAGACGTTCGGTTTGCGTGACACAGCAACGATGGCTGATTGCTACGTTCGTATCGAGCGGTGCTATTGATACGTCTAGGGTTATTTAATTATTTACTCAAACGTGATTATACCGTTCGAAGCATCCACGTATATAGTAGATGCTTTATTAAGTTATACGTATACATCTTAGGGAATATCTTAATGACGACGTAGATTTTTATTGTATCGATGGAAATAATGATGATATTGAAAGAAGTAACATCGAGAAAATGGAACGAATTCAAATGTGAAACTTCATAAAAATTGTATAATTGTTAGAAGAGAAATAAAAGTGAATGTATTTATTAACAAAAAAAAAAAAAAAAAAAAAAAAGACAAAAAATCATTAAAAATTGAAAAACGAAAATGAGAAGAAAATAGTAGTAGTAGAAGAAAAAGAAGAAGAAAAAGAAGAAGAAGAAGTAGAAGTAGAAGAAGAAGAAGAAGCAACCATAGACGACTAACCGACGATTACAACGATCGATTTCCAATGATTATTAATTATCAGAGTTAATGATCTGGCTGATTGGAGCGTAGCTGTCTCGAGGAGCTCGTTAGTTTCACGCCGTCTGCTTTTCTCGCCTGGTCGGTCCTGGTTTCTGTTCGTTGTCCTGTCGTTGGTGCGTCGATTTCAACGTCTCGCGTTGCTCCTGATCGTTAATTAAATAAATTCACTGTTAATTGTCTTGGAGCTTTTCATTGCAGACGTGGCCGCGGTTGCGGTGCCAACGACGAGCTAGCTGGTTGGGTGGTTGGTTGGTTGGCTGGTTGGCTGGCTTGGCAGTGCCGTAGATTCCCTTGAGGGGAATCGAGATCGCGCCTCGATGAGCGCCTTGTCTCTAAAGCTCACTTTTAAAAATACCACTACCATCATTCTTCATTGCCATTTGGCGGTTCTTGTTTTTTTGTTCTTTTTATTTTTCTTTTTTTTTTTTTCTTTTTTCACTTTTTTTTCCATTCTTTCCTTTTCCCCTATTCCGGATAAAATAAAAATCGAAGGTATGATTCGATTGGATTTTTTTTTTTTCTATTTTGCAACGACTCGAAGGATCGTAATTAAAGTCCAATTAGCATAAATCGAATCATCAATACCTATTTATGCATAATGCTCGAATATGTTATTATCGTAATTATTATACATTTTAAAGATTCATTTATCTATCGTTGATCGCGTTTTATTTTATTCGTTAATTTATCACTTGATTACGAGTATGAGTACGAGTATATTATATCGATTATAAAAGCACCGACTGATTTGTTAAGGTAATGGCAAATTTTACGAAATGTTATTTCCAAGTATCATCGTAACAATGTGAACTAATTAAATAGATAATGACTTTTTTCTTTTTTTCTTTTTTTTCTTCTTTTTCATACGTAACACATAACAATACAGAAAGTTATATTGAAACTAGGAACTATAATAGTCTATCACAATGAGAACGGTGTAGAATATGTCTGGCTTATTCTATTCTATACTGAGAACTGTTCGAAACAAGAATAGTATAAGTCTGACTTATGATATGAGAATGACGTATTTTGATTCAGTAGACTTCTACAATTATACAACATCGATAACACGTTCAATAATATTTATAATTTTACATTATTCAAATTTTCTTTCTGATTGATCGTTTTATTAAAATGTGTAATATTGATTGCAATTTGCGATATGTATGAAATTATTATGAAAGAAAAAAAAAGGAAAAAAAAAAAAGAGAGAAAATATAAAATCGCACGTGTATTAGTTATGTAACATTATATGGTGGATATTTAAATATAATGGCAGAGCGATCATTCGAGGAGAAACGGCTAGAAAGATTTATAACGTAGAAAGGGTCCTTCGCCAATAGCTGCGATCTATGGAGAAGAAAGAAAGAAAAAAGAAAGAGTAGAATAAAGAAATATAAATGTAAATATTAATAGAGATCTCTCTCTCTCTCTCTCTCTCTCTCTCTCTCTCTCTCTCTCTCTCTCTATTTATCTATCTATCTCTATCCACTTTTCTCTTTCTTTCTTAATATATGGGACCAAAGTAGCGAGGGTAAACTTTCTCCAGGGCTTTCTTTTTCCCGTATCTTTCTTTCCTCTTTCATTCCCTTCTTTTTTTTTCCCTGCTCTCCATCGTACAAATATTTAATGGATCTGAATGTATCTGTTCATAAGGTATATAATATTTTATGCACGCACATTTCTTTGAACTTATCCTAAAGATTTTTCTGTTTATAAAAGTTAACGAAGAAGTTAAGGGTGATTAGAAGAAAGGAAAAAAAAAGAAAAGAAAAAAAAGAAAAAAGAAAAGGAAAAATAAAAAACTTAAAAATTACCACTTAAAAATTAAGTGAACTTAAGGATAAACGATCTTTCAGACGTAGTTTCAACGAAGAATGACAAAAAAATTGAGAACAAATTTTTGACGACGATAATACAAATTTGACGATATCGATATGTGAAGTCATGAATTAGATCGATGAAGCTTTTTATATTTTTAACGTTGAATGATCGAATAAAATAAAATGAAGTTATGGAACTATCGGTAGCATATGACTGTAGTCGTTAAAAAGCTTTCAATGTGCGCGTGATCCCAAAGATGCGAAATGAAATCAGGCAGAGAGAACCATCATCCCCTTTGGATAACTGAAAAAGAGACAGAAAATGGAAAGGAAGAGAAAAAAGCTCTTTAATTATTTGGCGATCCCTCCGATGACGGCGCGCTCGTCCATCGGCAGGTCTCTAGAGAGAGAGAGAGAGAGAGAGAGAGAGAGAAAGAGAGAGATACAGTTAGAGAAAGAGGGATAGGGAGACAGAGAGAAAGAGAGAGAGAGAGAGAGAGAGAGAGAGAAAGAGAGAGATACAGTTAGAGAAAGAGGGATAGGGAGACAGAGAGAAAGAGAGAGAGAGAGAGAGAGAGAAAGAGAGAAGGAGAGAGAGGTAGAGAAAACGAAGAAGAGGAGGGTGTACGTTCCGCTGGATTTAACGGAGTTAATTAATCCCACAGTATAATTAAAGTCCCGTTTCGATGTGCCGAAAGGCGTGCATGGATCGACCTTCTCCCCACCTCTTTCTCCCACCCAACCTCCTCGGCTCGAGCTCGCGAGTATAAAATCGTGAAAAACGATGACTTTTTTTTTTACCAAGCGTCCAACTTGTTCGGGGGTTGGTATCAACGTTCTGAACCGAAAGAGAAAAAGTTCATTATCTTTTGTACTACTATTTCAGATAATGAAGGCTATAATAAGTAGAGACAGAATGTCGACATTTTTAAATAGAAAAGAATTGTTATGAGATGAAGTAAAAAATGGTAACAAAGTAGTAAAGGATAAATAGGTAGATAGATAGAGATAGAAATAGAGAAAGAGACAGAAAGACAGAGAGAGAGAGAGAGAGAGAGAGAGAAATAGAAGAAAATGAAGAAAGAGAGAGAGAGAGAGAGAGAAATAGAAGAAAATGAAGAAAGAGAGAGAGCGAGGATTAAAATAAAATAAAATGTGAAAAAAGAAAGTAAATTTTTGTAAAATGATTTGGAATAATGATAAAAGGAAACGATATAATTTATAAATTTTAATAATGATAATAATAAATAGCAAAATAGATGATAATAGAGAAGAGAGAGAGAAAGAGAGAGAGAGAGAGAGAGAGAGAGAGAGAGATATTGTGTAAGTAGAAAGGTAAGAGAAAGAGCGAGAAGTTGGTGACGACGGAATGCTGTCGGTTTAATTAAATTCTACCGTTTTGAAGCGAGACGCGTTGGGTCATGGTTTCACGACGACTACTCGCATACAATTGGAAATCGAAGGAAAAGTAGAATGACTCCAAATAGAAGGTTCCTTCTTCAGGCCGATACCTACCTATGCGTTTCTTCCACTTTCGTAGATTATTCCTCCACCTTCTCCCCCTCCCCCCCTTCCACCCTCCTGCCCCGCCTTCTCCTCCTTTTCCTCCTTCCTCTTCTTCTTGTTCGAGCTCGCACCCCAATTTCCCGTTAAGCGAGATCAGCTTACGTCGACGTCTCTGATATTGCGCCGTTCTGACGAGGATGAGAGGGGGGCCGAAGGGTAGGCTAATCGGCCGAATTTTTTCGCGCGATGAGGGTGGGGGTGGGGGTGGGTCACGTCAGAGCGTGGAATTTCGCGCTTGAAAGAGAAGATTTGAAAAGCTTCAAATGGTTTATTTGAGACGACGTCAAGTCGCCATTTTTTACTTTCTTCCCTCTTCATCCATGAACGAGGATAACGTACGAACGATTGGATATTGTGAAAAGGAATGAATAAAAAGGAAAAGAAAAAATAAAGAAAAAAAAAAAAGAAAAGAAAAAAAGATAGACCGAGTAGGCGGCAACTCGTAGGAAGAAAAAACTTTAATTGTCCGCAAAAATAATTAATCCTTTTCGATCGAGGATACAAATCATCGTAAAGTGGAATCTTCGTTCGAGTTGTTTCTCCGCTTTTTCTTTTTTTTCTTTTCTTCTTCTTCTTTTTCTCCGAAGTACCAATCCATCCTCTGTTTCTTCTTCGATTCCTTTCTTCGTCGGTGCTTTCCTGTCTACTCCTGCTTGCGCGAGGCGCAAGCGCGAATCCTGTCGCGCCCCCGAAAAACCGTGCGCGCCGTTCGCCAGTTGCGTTCAGACGTTCACAACGTCACGTTCGTCTCTTTTCTCTCTCGTCGATGCAATCGCCGTGTTACTTCGTCGCGATCTTCGATGCCACGTGACTATCGTTTTCGTTACGCGCACTTTTAAATCGCAAAAATTCATACCATCAGGACTGTCTTATTTTTTTGTTATTATTGTACTTATCGTTATTGTTATTGTTGCTGCTTATCGTTCTATTTACTTTTCTTTATATATCGTTCTTCTTATTTTGCAGAAACATTTGCGAAGGACATTTATAAGATAAAAGTATTTATGAAGTAAAGCAAAAAAAAAAAAAGAAGAAAATCGAGTAAGAATTAAAAACAATAGAGGGAAGAAAAAGAGAATTTTTCACTTTTCTTTTCTAAATCATAATTGACTTTTCGGAAATCCATAATTATGAGGTATCACGTTGAAAGACACTCGAACGTTTTCAATATCCAAAAGAAAATTATGATTATTAGTTTACTTTAAAGACACGTCCGGTGTGATATACCGGTGTGATAAATCGTGGCCCTGGCGAATAGTGTGGCATGTGACCGTATGTGAGACAATGTGGTGGGTGGGTGGATCCTGCGATCTCCAGAGATGCAAGTTCCTTGTTCTCCTGATTCTGATAGGCTGCAGCGAGGCATATCTCAATATTTTCATCAGCCAATCGCAAGTTATGAAACTTTTGGGTAAGTTCATTAAACTCTGATAATTTCATCGTTTATAATATCGTATGATTTGTTTTCTTTCTTTTCCCCCTGTCACCCCTCACCCTCCCTTCCCTTCCCGCCTTTGCCTCCGAGTTTTATCAATCTTCTATCTTTAGTATTTCTCACAACAAAGCTCGTCATTTAAAGGATTCCGTTATCTTTTTCCTCATTTTTCTTTCGTTTCTTATCTCAACGTTACCTCGATAAAAGAAGGAAGGGGGGAGAAAAAAAGAAGAAAGTAGATATAATGATTCCTTTATAGGAGAACTCGTTAACAGATCCGATTACAATAGCGAGGTTGAAAACTACCGACGCTTGAAAAGACGGGAAGAAAAGAGCGAGAGAAAAATAGAGAGAAAGAGAGAGAGAGAGAGAGAGAGAGAGAGAACTAGAAAAAAAAGGATACGGAAAATAAGTGTAGATAAAGGAAATAGGACCTTGAAGGGAAGCGTTTTTGAAACCGGATCTATTTCGAAGCAGCAATCTAGACCCAACGCCATTGGTACCACGAAAATGGTGTCAAGAAATGCGATAAGATAGAAATTAAAGACACGAAAAGTAGTCTAGGTTGAGTAAGGGAGAATTAAAGAGAGAGTGAATGAGGGAGAGAGAGAAAGAGACAGAGAGAGAGAGAGAGAGAGAGAGAGAGAGATACAGATAGAGAAAGAGACAGAGAGAGAGAGAGAAAGATAGAGAGAGAGAGAGATACAGATAGAGAAAGACAAAATTGGCACTCGTTATGGAGTGTCGTGGAGAGCATTGAATCAGCAATTTGCGGCACGAGGCGTTCGTTTTAATGGTCGTGTCACCTATATACACTATATAGATATATGTATATATATATATATATATATATATATATATATATACATGTATTTACATACATACACAATATATATATATATATATATGTATGTATATATATATATATATATATATATATATATACATGTATTTACATACATACACAATATATATATATATATGTATGTATATATATATATATATATATATATATATATATATATATATATACACTCACATAGTGAAGTTTCTAGCGCGCGTGAACATTCTGTATACCATTCGATATCACTTTACAAACCCCCATGATTCATATAGCCGCACCCGTTCGTGTATATATATACATATATAGAGCCAGTAGCGAGCGGGACATTTCAGTTTTTTCCTTCTCCGTTGATAAAAAGGGGTAAGGGTTGAAAAGGGAATGAGAGAATGAGAGCGAGAGAGAGAGAGAGAGAGAGAGAGAGAGAGAGAGAGACGTTGATGTATTTACGAGCGACTGGACGCTCGTGATTTCTCGAAAATCGAGCCAATCTCAAGCATTCCGAGCGTTCTATGTATTATATATGTCCGTCTTTCCTCATTTTTTCGCATACTTTAATCTACATAGCGAACGTGTTTAAATTTACGATTAGATCGCGAACGCGTTAATGTCACCTGCTTTTTTATTACGTTGCTCGAACGTCTCATTTATTTTCATATTAAATATCGAATATTGTTTCGTTTAATTAAAGTACAAAAAAAAAAGAAAGAAAAACAAAAAAAAAGAAAAAAGAAACAAAGAAATGATACTATGATATTAATTTTTGGTAAAATTTATTTCTTTTTCTCTTTTTTTTTTTTTTTTCTTTTTATTACATCAAAACTCTTTTTTTTCAATTCATACAAATTCGAAACAGTTTTTAGATATGGAGAATCAACGTTCTTTATACGTACATATATAATATCCCACTTGTCCCCATGGCCATTTGTCAGTAGTCGATAAATCATTTACGTCTATCTATTTGTTTATCTATTTTCGAAAGATTTTCGAAGAAGAAAAACGAAAACGAAAGCAAAAACAAAAAAGAGGAACAAAAAAAAGGAAATAAACGAGCAAGCAAACAAAAAAATAGGAGAAAAAAATAGGAAAAAAAATAGGAAAAAAAAATAGGAAAAAAAATAGGAAAAAATTGGAAAAAAGAAAAGGGTAGGGAGGGTGAGGGGCGGATAAAATTGTAGGTACGATAGAGAAACGTTAGAGACGTTTAATCTTTAAAGTGGTACGAGAGGACAGGTGGTGGTACATCGAGATAGAAAGAATAATTCGAAAGCCTCGGTTTTCTTCTATGCGAGAAAACTCGAAGGCGCCTAATGGATCGCGTAATACTCTTGCATTTTGGATTTTATCGTTGAAAATAGAGAATGGTGTATAGAAAGATAAAGGGTTACCGGCATTAGGACGACAACGACAAGGACGACGAGAAAGAGTACGACGAGCGGAGGACCGAAGCGGAGCCGAGTTTCGTCGCCGAGCCACTCGAAAGTCACTTAACTTAGATTGCCAGAGCGAAATGACTTTACTTCCCTGGAAAACTTCGTTCCGTAGGGAGAGAAAGAGAGATAGATAGATAGATAGAGAGAAAGAGAGAGAGAGAGAGAGAAAGAAAGCATTACTGCTAGCGAAAAAAAAGAAATGAGAGAGAGAGAGAGAGAGAGAGAGAGAGAAAGCATTACTGCTAGCGAAAAAAAAGAAATGAGAGAGAGAGAGAGAGAGAGACAGGGTAAGTTCGAAGTTTAAACGAAAGGAAAAGAAAAAAGCAACAAAGAGAGAGAGAAAGAGAGAGAGAGAGAAAGAGAGAGAGAGAGAGAGCGAGATAAAGCGTTTCTCCATCCCATCTTCCTTCTTCCTTTTTTTTTTTTTAAAGACGAAAATACTAGAGAATTCTCTCTATCTACGTCTCTCTGTCTCTTTTCCTCTCTTTCTCTCCCTTTTCAGCAAATTCAGCGTTTACCTCCGGTAGTAGGACTTCGGGAACGTTTACGCGACCCTGTTGGTTGGTTCCAATTGGATAGCAGACTTTGTGGATCTCTTCCATGACATCGTTACCGCAGTCTTTTTACAAGCTGGCTTGTCGACTCACTTTTTTAGAAATTAATCGAGATCGTCGAACTATTCGATAAATTCAATTTAACGTACTAATCAATATCTAATAACGTTGGATTGATCGCGATTTGGATTTTCTTTTTTCTTTCTGTTATCCTTCTTTTTTATTTCTCTTTCCTTTTCGTTCTTTCTTTTCTTATTTTTTTTTCTTTTTCCTTATCCCAGAAGTGAAAAAAAAAATGAACGGTTCGAGGGATTTACTTCTCGTTAATCTTTTCTTTTCTTTTCTTTTCTTTTCTTTTCTTTTCTTTTCTTTTCTTTTTTTGTTTCTCTTTTCTTTTCGTTTCATTTTTTTTTCTTCGTTTGCTTTGTTTACATATAGAGTACTCTACTAGCGTACACGAAATTATTGTGCGAGATTACGTTGAAAAGGTTTAATTTTAACGAACACACACCATTCTTTATACTAAAAATATATCGTTGATTATTGTGCGAAATTGTGCGAGTTTACGTTCACAAGGTTTAATTTTAACGAACACGTGCCATTCTTTATCCCAGGTATATCGTTGATTATTCAGGAGGTAGTTTATTGTTCGGATATTCATACTCGGGACGCGAGCAAAGTTTAATATGATTTACATTTAATGGATTGCCAGGTGCGAAAGTGCAATATATCGAGAGAATAAGTGAGAGAGAGAGAGAGAGAGAGAGAGAGATAGAGAGGGAGAGAGAGTGAAAGGGGAAGATAGACGAAGGGATGGGGAGAAAAAAGAATAGAGGAAGAGAGAACGTTTCGTTTACATAATAACGTTTAAAAAAGTAAAGCTTATCCGTAGGATTACATTTTATTCGATCGATCGGTGATACTTGTAATTGGATTGTAGACGCGCGAGGTAGACGAGATTTGTCGTTTTATCGTTGGATAAAAGGAAAAAAATTGTGTCGGTCAAACGAAATGACCGATTAAAACGAAAAACGATTGTCTCGTATTTTGTTGCAAGTATTGAAAATCAAATCGAAAGATTTTTTTTTTCTCAATTTATTTCTCATTAGGTAAGCACAGGAAATAAGATCGGACAGTATCGTTCGTTCGTTCGTTCGTTCGTTCGTTCGTTCGTTCGTTCGTTCGTTCGTTCGTTCGTTCGTTCGTTCGTTCGTTCTAATTCATTTTATTTTCCCTCGTTTCTATTTCTTTTTTTCCTTCTTTATTATTTCATTCATTTGTTGTTATTATCATTATTACTTTTTTTTTCTTTCTTCTTTTTTTTTTTTTTTTTTTTTATTATTATTATTTTTTTTTCTCTTTTTTTTTTTTCGTGAACGTAATCACGTTATAGACGTTTCGTCAGATCTGCCCCATTTCATACGATATTTGTCATGACGACGACGTTCGTGTCGTCGCGAAATTAGTAAATACGACGTTCTCGAATGAGACCGCTATGGCGGCGGCCCCTTGTACGATTAATCGCGCATTCGAAGATTAACGACATTGTTATGCTGTAATTAACGACTGGTTACATGTGAAACGATGTTCCAGTAGACATCTTGGATTACTAGAACATTTGCCTAGGAATATATGTATGTATTTATGTATATATGTATATATGTACATACATACATAAGTATATGTACGTATGTAAACCAAAACGAAATTTTCCGTTTTAATATAAATTAAAATCAAATTGTAAACATAAATAATCGTTATAGGATATAGATTTTGATTTATCATTTGATTGAACTGTCATAAATTTTTTTCTTTCCGGACTATGTTAACGCTTGTTCGTTTTATATTAATAATAATAATAATAATAATAATAATAAAAGAAAAAGAAAAAAGAAAAAGGAAAAAGAAAAGAAGAAAAAAAAAGAAGAAAAGAAAAGAGTATGAAAGAAAAATGTAATGACCTTCCGTTCTCTTTCTTTATCGAAAGCTTTTCATTTCTACGTAGAAACTTTCTTTGTAGAAACTCCAAAAGAATGAAATCGAACAAATTTATTTTCTTTAAGAAACGTGTAGTACAAAGTACCGGCTTTTACTCTTACATAAATAAAATTAATTTATTAATTTAATTTAACTAGAATAAGAGGACTT